ATTACATGCCATTTAAGCATTATGCAGGCTCAGATTATTTAAATTCCTAAATACGCCTTTTTTAATTATTTGTGCTATTGGGGTCAAATCTAGTATTTACCAATTTTTTTTTGAATTTAACGAATCTGAGCATGCATAGTTCTCAAATGGCATGTTATCAATTTATTCTTACAGTTTCGAGCATTTTCATTGATCTTAGAAAATTATATTGACCCCAAATGGAAAGAACTCATTTTCTTTCGTGTAATTCCTTTGGGAAAACTAAAGGCTCGCGGCGGCATCTCTCACAATCGTCCTAGTTGAGATTTATGGAGGATCATAACTAAAATGCTAAAATTTGTGAGTCTTATTCCGGTCGCATTCAGAATTCTTATTTTTATTTTTTTTTTGACGAGGTCTAATGTACATACATAGTAGCCACACTAAGCCGAACATTAAATGAGCGCCTGCAGACTATTGCTGCTCACTTGGCAGGGTGGGCTGGTCTGTGCTTTTTTAACTTGAAATAATAAGCAGCGCAAGCAGGCGTGGAAGTGACAATGTGGCATATTATAGTCTAGTTACATCCATTCATTAATATACTTAAGTATGTATGTATGTATAATTATAAATGTGTGTTTGCATTGTATGCAGGAACATTTAGCTAATAACTAGTGTATACATATAGGCGTTCGTATAGCATTGTATTTGTACTTATGCGCCAGAGTATCCACTGAACAATATAACAGCCATCTGCTGCCTACTGCCATCCGCTTTTCAGATTATACTCATATTTTTCGCTTATAAAAATCTTTGTGTGTGTGTGTGTGTTTCTGTAAATGACTTTCATTGTAAATTGTATGCGCATAAAAGTATATTAAGGCTGCAAATTTATTTAGAGATTAGGGCATAGAATTGTTCGTGTTTTGTGAGGAACCGAATGAGGTGAGAAGTGCTAATCGGGGTCCTCAAATACTTTCTGTAGTACTGGGTAACAGTTAAAGCTAATCGTTTTAATGAAAAGGAGAATTATATCCCAAAGATTTATGGTTTCATCGTATTTATCGAGCACCCTCAACCTACTTCAATTTTTTAAATTGCCACTACAAAATTAATAGTTATTGAAGTCTAAAAAATTCTTATTGAATTCCTTAGTATGACAGGGCGTATGAGTAACATTAACTACGTGTTGAATATTTTTTATACAGGCATCAGCTTTGATTTTAGTAATGAAAAATTAAACATTGTGATTACCATTAATATAGAAGGAACGCAAAAACGAATACGAATAAAAGCAATTTAAAAATACAAAAGGAAAAACAAATTAAAGTAAATTTGTTTAAAGTTTTTAGAAGTCTGGATTTTAAGGGGAGAACTATTTAAAGTTTATATAATAATTGCAAATTTTTGCTGTTTGTTGTTCTAGCATAAAAGTCTTAGGAAAAAAAGCTCCCTCATTCACCACTTGGGGTGAAAAGGTATTTTGAGATTCACAGAGCCCGAAGGACCAAAGCAGAGGCGTACCATTAGGGAGATCAAGCCCTCGGGCAGCGGAGATTTTGTTCTCCTTTTTTTATTTCACATTTCTTCTCTCTTGATTAAATTTTTAGATTTTATTTTTTAAAAAGAGACATTTGTATTTTTAAATAAAAGAAAATTTTTTAAAATTTATTTTATTTTACTTTTTTCTTAGTTTAATTTGTATAGTTTTTTATGTTATTGGTTTAAAAAAGCATATATTTTTTATTTCATTTAATTTTGAGGAGCTTGTTTTATTTTTTCTAATTTTCATTATTTTTTTTTTGTTTAAGTCTAATGTTCTTTTAATTCTTAGATTTATTTGTTTAAAAAGTAAAAATATTATTTTAATAACATTTAATTTTTAAAAGCATACCTTTTTATTTCTTCTTTTTTTATATAATATTTTTTTTTTTAAATGTGTTTAGAAGCTGGCTTGAGGTCCGATGATTTTAAATTAAAACACAAGTTTTGTGATGTTAATCAATATATTTCGATTACACACGGTAATCGTCATCAGGATTTCCAAATTTATTTGAGCGTCCGCATCAGTTGACGTGGTGTTTTACACTTTCGTCAACTGATGCGGACGCTCAAATAAATTTGAAAATCCTGATGACGATTACCGTGTGTAATCGAAATATATTGATTAACATCACAAAACTTGTGTTTTAATTTAAAATCATCGGACCTCAAGCCAGCTTCTAAACACATTTAGGAAATAAAAAGGTCGCAAAAACAAATATTTTTTTTTTTAAATAAAAAATATTTTTTTTTAATTACATTTAGTTCTTGGAAGCATGCTGTTTTATTTTTTTTACTTTTTGTATAATATTTTTTTGTTGCTAACTTAATTTTCTTTTAACTTATGTAAATATTTTATTGTTTAAATTTGTTTGTTTCCTTTACTTTTTGTGATCTTATTTAGTTTTACATTTTTTTATTTTTTATTTAATTTTCTTCTAGTTTTTGAATTTTGTTTTAAGAACAAAAATCCTTTTTTTAATTTTTAAGAGTTATTTTCTTCTTTTTTGATATATTTTTCACATTTAGTTTTTTACTTTATTGTTTTAAAAAGATTTTTTTTTTAATTTCGCCAAATTTTTAAAAATATTTTTGTTTGTTTTTGCATTCGATATTTTCATTTTATTTATTTTTTCGGTTTTTAATTTAACTTTTTTGTTTATTAGTTTTAATGGGTTTAAAAATATAAATATATATTTTTTAATTTAATTTAATTTAATTTAATTTTTTAAACACTTATTGCTAAAAGGCATAACGTTATCTTTCAATTAGTCTTTCGAAAGACAGTAAAGAGCTTTTAAGATAGGTGCCAGAATTGACAATTGTCTTACGAAAGACTTTTGTCTTTCGAAGACTATGGTGAGTTGAAAAACAGTTGCCAAAATTGCCCTGTATGACTAAAACCAAGACAAATTCTAAGACAAAAACGAATACGATTACGATGGTGAAGCCGACGGCTAACACGAAGGTGGGTACGAAGACGAAGGTGAAGACGAATTATAAAACGACGACGAAAACGAATGTAAACACGAAAACGATGAGGAAACTGCCGACGAAAATGTAAGATATATGATACGAAAACGCTAACGAAGAGGAATACGAAGACGGACGCTAAAAGGAAGACCGAGACGAACCCGAAGACGGAAGCGATTAAGAAAAAGAGAACGATTAAGAAGTAGCAGGCTAGGATAAATATGAACACGAACAGAGGCGAACCAGGATATGAAAAAGACGACGACCACATAAGTGAAAACGAACACGAACACGAATGCAAATACAACTACGGCCTTGAATTCGAAGGTAAACAATTCGGTAAACGATGCTTTCGTTCTCCACACATGGGTGCCGAATCGGGGGACCTTTTGAGCCGAAGCCGAAGTTCATTTTCTTCGGTACCCGTCACCAATGAAAACAGGGCTACAAATCTTGCGTATAATAGCATTGTTGCCGTTTCCAATTTCTTTTCCGGTCAAAAAAATTAACTAAATGGTCAAAAATTGACCAATTTTTATAACGTCGGGAAACTGAGTGGAGTTTGTTGCTCTTTATCAAGAAAATATGCCAATTCAGTTTTTTTTACGTTTTTTACATATTGCGTACAAAGTGCTAAATAATCAAAAATACATTTATTTTAGAAATGTTTATTTTATACGTAAATATGAATAATTTGTTCTTTGAATCTTTGACTATTTTCTCCTTTCGAGAACACACACACACAAACTTTAATCTCTATAGTTATAACCACAAGATGGATTTTGAAGTTTTCTGGCAGCATTTTCATTCGATTTTCACGAATAAAATCCTTGAATGTACTAAACGTGCGCTCGCCGTGAGTTCATACAAATGGCGTCAAATTTAAATATGGAACGTTTAAAACTTTCGTATAATCAGGAAAAGCAAGATCATCAAGATCTTTATACCATTTCTACGAAAAGTTGTTTTTTCCCAAAATAAAATACATGGAAAGCTTTGATTTCAAAATAAAAAAAATAGGGGTATATTTTTTTGGTTCAGAACAATCCTAGAGGGTGGCGGCATTAAAATTTCGACTTTATTGTTTTTGAACCACTCTAATGTACATACATATTTTTTTTTTGCCATTTTAATATTTCCATTTAGCCCATTGTTTCCATTTCAGTTGATATTTGCATAATTTCAACTTGTCCTCCTCCATTATTTTCATTCTCAAATGCCTTGAGTATTTTTCCATTGCAATTTTTACGAAAATAAAATTGCAAATAATGCTTGCTTGCCAAAATTCTATGTTTAATAGACTACTCGTCAAATTGAAAAAAAAAAAACACGCACCGACATGCATATACATGTGAACATATATGTACCTGACTGACTACATCTATCACCTGTATGGATTCCACCCTCATCACTGCTACAAAGTACGCCTCCATGCGGGTGCGCCTACATTATAGTACTTATATAAATCTATGTATGTGTGTATGTATGTACTTGCAGCAGCTTTGCGGTCACGGAAAGGTATTTGCTGTATGTATTTTTGGCTACACTGGAGCTGTTTGCTTTGCGCGCGGCAACTAAATATAAAATTGTTGCCACACAATCGCTTACGGGACTTTGGGGAATATTTTAAAATGTGACTGGCATAAAGCGGTGCTCGACATGCGGCTTACGAGGTCCCAGTGTGGCAGTTGAAATACATACATATGTGCGATTTACGCGAATGTTTGTGTGTCACTGATTTGGATTTGTAGGCTTTTTAAGATGCTTAGTAAACAATAGCAAAGGAGTGGGTAATCATAACTAGATATTAAGATTCTTCTATTTATGTGCAAAATAATAGGCATATCTATATACATACATACATATGCGCAATGCATGTAGGCTTGCATATTTTTAGCAATATTTCTTTGAAATACCAAAATTCCTTTTTCAAGAAAATTTTGCCTGAAGCAACATTCCTCTTAATTTCTATTCCCCATCCAACACTAAATTCATATTCTAATTACGTCTTTAAATTCCTCGCTGCCTGGTTGGCTCGTTTGCCTCATCGTCTGTTGGCGGCTGTGTTGGTGTTGTTGTTGCGCTGCTGATGCGTGGGCGCAAAATCCTTCCTTCATCTAAGTGAGCTGCAAAAATTTGAAGGACATTTTGCGTTTTAACTTTTAGTTTTTTATTAGCAATTTATTCACATTTTCGTTTTATTGAAATTTTATTTGTTTTTATTTTCTTTTCGCGTTGTCGTTGTTTATTATCTTTTTCACACACATTTATTTTCCGTAATATTTGCACGCTGTCCGTATAAACATACAATAATTTATTTCAGCACTATTTTCAATTAAAATCAACATTTCTTGCTTATTCAGTGTGTAATATTAACTCGCTTCCTTGTATATAAGTTTTTTATTAAATTTTTCAGTAAAATTTTTTGCTTTTCGTTGTTTTTGTATTTTATTTTCTTCTTGTTTTCTATTCACTACTCTATTGCTGCACACATCTTTTGTATCTATTCCAATACACAAATTGACATAAATGACCCAAAGCGTTGTGTCTAACAGCTTGGCATTTTAGTGGATTCGAATATACACTGCACACACACGAAAACGTATATACGCAACGGTGCAAACGCACCTCGATAGCCAGCGTTTTGTTGGCCACTAACTGCTCTAGGTACGTCTGTTGCTGGCGGTAAGTCCCAACGACTGGATTCCGTACGATTCTGCTGGCAACTGCTTCTATTTAACTGAGTGCTGCTTGCTTTTAATCTTTTTGGCACTGGCATCCGCAGGCTTTCTCAGCCAGCAAATAGGGTTGCCAGATGGCTGACGATATGTAAAAGTTGATTACAGAAAATTTCAACTGCCGCGTAACACTGTGAAATACGCAACGTATTAGTGTTCATGCGTCGTGGTAAATCACCAAAAAGATTTTGATTCGCTTCATAATTTTACTAATATATGCAACTTTTCTCCTTCAAAGGCCTACAATAAAATTTCGTAAACATTTTTTTGATCAACATTTTAGCCTCCTGATGTAATGGGTCCTTCTGACCAGTGATTTAAGAAAAGTGTTTTCAACTTCATTAAAACTAGCTGATAGAGGGTGAAAGTTTGTTGCAAAAAATATAAGCGCAAAATTTCACTTGACGTCGTAGAAGATGAAATTATCTTTCGACTATTATTTTATCCAAATTTGAGATAACGGGCTTTTTTGATGGAAGCGTGAGTCCATGTTCACTTGCTGGAATCGAAACGGTAGGGCGAGAAATCGTTCGACAACTCAAGTTGTTACATTTAATTGTTTCGATATTCAAATTTCTTCATTGGGTCCCAGAATCGTAGCGATTTCTTCCATATATAATAGTTGCTTTACAAAAGATTCCATAGACATGTTGAGCTTTTTGACCCCCTCCCTCTATGAAATCACCTTTGGTCTAGACTCAAGAGTATTCCAAAGGGTTCACAAGAACATATGTCTAACCTAAGAGTTCTTAGAGAACATACTTGCGGGCTAAGCTATTTGCTGATTAAACTAATCAACGCAGATGCTGTAATCTGTATAACAAAACTGCAGTTATGGACACTAAAATATAAACCAGCATATCCGGGAACCCCGTTTACTTTTTTGATTATAAATCTGAAAATTTTTCGTTGATAAAAGAGTTGGGGTGTCTTAGTAAAGGAGCTAGGGTCAAGTCTTGTGCAGTGACCGCCAGCCCTATGCTCATGAACGGGAGCTTTTTCGAGCGTTTTTCCAAGCTTTCTTCTCACTACAATAAAATAAGTTCGTGCAACTTTTGGAAGTAACAATGATCTTTTAGATCAAAATATATTTTTATAAGTTTAGTCACCACTGGGCTCCCTAACTTTTGACTCAGAATTAAAAAAAAAGTTTTGACATGTTTTACTCGTCTTTCTCCAGACCAGATGCAATATGGCAATTCAGTTTCCTAACATTCGAACTGCGCAGGACCAAACAATTTTGCAAAGAGAGCTCTACTCGCCCATTCGTTTCAAAGCTATCGTGAGCCATTGTTGCCCATTGCTGCCGACTCTCTCGTAACCTTTCGTTTTCATTGTGAATAATTCACATGCACGAGTATTCCCCTACTCACTGCTGGCATTTTTTCTTTCACTTTCCATTGCTTTTCAACTGCTGATAGTAAACATATGTAATTGGCCGACGACGTCATTGATTGTCGTTTCGAAAAGTTTGCATTCCTATACTTAAAAAACGCAGGTTATGAGAATTGAGCACAACTAACTATGACGTCATTGCTTAGCCTCTTGTGTTTTCATTAGAATGGAGTGACGTCACTCCGCTTGAATGCATTTCTGGTACAGATGATGCTGATGCTGATGCAGTTAACCGCTGTTATTGTGTTGTGTTGGTATCAAAAGGGAATCGAAGTGATGAGCAAATAGCGAAAAATGAGATTCAGTTGCATCGCTTGCACTTGTTTGGCCGTGAGAAAAAAAACAAAAACAAAAGCAAAGCGTGCGCCAATTTGCGTCTTCTAGTGAGGAGAATACGTACATATGTAAGAGCAGAAATAAGACAGGTTGAGATGATTGTGAAACGTCAACTGGTAATTAAATGAGCGAGCAACCTGCGCAGATATTATATTTTTAATTATTTATTTTTACTTCGTTTCGTTTATAACAATTTACTGTTTGCTTCGAAATTTTGTTGCTGTTCATAAATGCTTGTAATCATTTTAAAGCTGCGTGAAAGTTTCAGAGATAACGAAGATTTTTTTATGACTGTCATTTACGGAAAGTCTGCAGAGAAAGTTTTTATCTTTTTTCATGTAATTAATGCAAGGAGATTTTTGCATTGTTAAAATGTCCAATGCCAAATGCTACACATACATACATAAATAGGCCATATAAATCCATGTAAATATATGTAGATTAGTATTGGAAGTACGAAAAATTTAAAGGATTAAATATGTATGTACATATATTTACAAATTGTAGAAATGAATAATAGATGTACCTCAGTTAAAGGATTATATATGCAAAATGTTTTTCCTCATTTTCGCTCATTAGCCCAGTAAATTTAGACTTTTTCAAAAAAAAAAAAAAAAATAATGAAATGTACAGGTTTAAGTTAATAAAGTGGTAGCCGGGTTTTAAATAAAACACCTTCTCCTTTCGCTGCTCAAATTGGAATGTCCTCTTTTATTCTTTTCTTTTCACAAGATGGTGTCTTATAACTATATCTTAAGGTCTAGTTACACTATTCGTGTACTAAAAATATGCTAAAGGGACTATTACACTATTACAATGATTTACATGATTTATTAATCTATTACTTAAGCTAGCCTATACAACGCTACTACAGCTCGGCCATCCTGATGAATAGAATCACCTGATTCTGCTCAGCATATATATACGTGAGCTTAT